TTTATTCTTATTTTTCATTTTTAAAAAACCCAAAGAAATAAATCTTAACCAGCTTTTCATGTGTACGGACAAATAATCAATTTCAAGTGGCATTAACTTCAAGAACTAAAAAACAATCATATAAAAGATACTTTTAACCCGTAGTCTGCTGAAAAGATTTGGAGAGATCATCATGAACAAACGTGTCACTGCAACTAAACAAGTGCTTCACTCAGTGATTACATTTTCAAAAAATCCTGAGATAAAAAACCCATTTGTATTGGTATATATGTAACTGCATACATTAAAATCATACATAGAGATGATAAACAATTAAATTTTCTACAAAATTCACAAGTTAGAACAATCTTCTGCTTTATAAGATTTTATAAACATTTCTTAGCTGAAAATGATTTAGCTCAGGTCAGACCAAATCACAAGACTACATCTTGTGCAAGCAAGAAAACCTCGACTTACTGCAAAACAACTACATGATATCAAATATGTTACCATCAGTTAATCCGTAACAAGTAAGCTTCAGACTGGATCAAAACCTGAGATTGAACTGACAGCAAGAAAAACATTTCCCTGCTGGTCATGTCGGCCATCTTGGATTTAACTTCAGCCATCTTGAATTCAACTGCTATGGTGTAAAAGCAAACCGTTACAGGCCTACAGGTTGACATTAAGGTATAATACAGAACTTGCAGAGACTTTGTGAAACAGAGATTATATAAAAAAATATTGTGCATAGAGTATTTGTGTCGTTAATACTGACATATGTAGACTCTGAGATGAAGAAGCCGAGATGTTAATAGTACAATGCTAACAACATCCTGTACACAGGACAACTTTCTTTGACAAACCTGTCATTGCAAACATGCGGGGCACTGAAGTAACAACACAGAAAACTGACAGATGCAACTCACAATACACACCTTATAACTTCCATTAGGGTGCCACAGTCCATTGCAGAATGTCTGATCCTGAACTTCAAACCAAAACTTTTAAACACCAATTTCAAATAATTAGCCTGAAGCTTTGCTTCATTAACCTGGTAAAGTGAATAAAATAGAAATTTGTACGAACAATAACTTATCTCTAACTTGGGTTGATGTGAAAACGGACTATCAGTGTGCTGAGAATTCATATGTGTAATTACAAGAGAAATTCTACAGGACATCGTTCACACATCACTGCGAGGTTCCTGGAACAGAACATCTGCTTGGAAGCTACACTTGTCGTTGTTCAGCCATTTCCTTCATTTGGGTTGCCACTATCAACACTTTGAAGAAAATCATAAATTGTAAAAAAATAATGAATTCTTTGGTTCTGGAGTTCGATATATTCCTTAACTGACCTTCTGACCTTGATACTCCATTACTTGCATAACATGGTTGAGTTATATCTTCATCATGTACATTCAACCATATTGACTAGCATGGACCGCCATCTTACATCAGATGCCAATATATATTATGTGTTTAAGCATAACATGTATGCCCAAGTAACTTACAACAACCTTGGTCATTCTACAAGAACAGGAACCAAGGTCCACATTGAGTCAGGAACACGTGAGTGAATGAGTGAGTTGGGTTTAACGCCGCTTTTAACAGTATTCCAGTCATATCGCGGCGTGTCAGCTTAATGTGGGAGAAAAGCCCGAAGTGATGCAGGTCTAAGACGTTTACCACTTCGGTGAAACCGACAAGCATGGGTATGGTGCTGACAAACCTAGAAACATAATTGGGGCTAACCGGGATTCGAACCCACAATCATAGGTTTCTGGCATGCCCAAGGGACGCAACTCTGCACAGCGAATCGCGGCGCCTTAAACGACTGGGTCACCTGTGCCCCCCAGGAACACGTGAAGTCATGCAGGAGACACTTACCACTTTGGTGGAAACCTCACACACGAGACATGGTCTACAGACCAAGGATCACAATCAGTCAAATATTGCATCAAACCCATGACAAGCAGATCCTGAAAGGGCTTCAAGTTTACCTTACAGTCAAACACATCCAATACAGTAACTACACAATCAGACCATGTGACGCACAAACCTTCAGTCAGTAAACGGCCATACAGCTAACCAGCTTCAGTGGCAGAAAGAATAGTCATGTCATTTTACTGTGATCTCATGGTAACAATGATATCACAATGGTCTGCAAACCATTCCAGCAAGTACTATTTCTGTGGAAGTCAGTTCCGGGTGATAAAAGTTCTTACAGTGTCTGTAATGAAGGTAATGACTGCATGAACTGGAACATTAGGAATGGCAAGTCCACTCATTCCTGTTGTGTTTCTATCTTAGACATCTGTCTTTATTAAAGGTGGGTTTGGGGATGGGTTTGTAAATGGCCACTCGAAATATGCATGATGGTTAGTGATAACATTGTTGGGAAATACTGATTGATCAAGTCCTACTTTTCATGACTCCCTTGACATACTGTGAAACCCTGTCTATCTGGATCCTGTTTAATATGGACCCATTGCCATACTCAATATTCCAACCATAGGATGGTATGCTCTCTGCCTCATGGCATTCATTCACCTGATGAAGGAGTAAGCATATACTCCGAAACGTTGTGTTCCTCATAATAAAGAAGTTGACATCCATATATTCTTCCTCATTCGATGGAAGCCTGTAAGACATCAAGTCTGGGCCAGGCAATCCAGTGATTGATAACAATATCAATGTCCAACACCATCCCGATACGACGACTCACAAATAGCCAAGTCACATGACCACCCAATCCTCATTAGCTCGCTGTTGTGACAAGCATGGGGGACAGGGGATTTGTAAGACGGTTATTCGGCTCCATACATGGAATCAAATTTGACAGATTATCGTGAAATAATCTCAACTGAAATTCCTGAACGACAATATTTCGATTATGCTTATATTTTTCCTTCCTAATAAGAAATATATTTTCATACTTTAAAAACTCATAATCAAAGTGAAGGATGATGAAAGCTTAATTCTTGACATTTTGTAAATCTAAGTCTGATAATACACTGACACTCAGAGAATTCAATATTCATACATGGGAATGTATTCAAAAGTTATTCTTGAATTCATAATTAGAACCATTATTGAAGTCTTAAGTAGGTTGTGGTTTATACAAATATGTACATATGGAGAATAGACTATTAAAACACAGAGGTCTCATTCTTGAATACAAAAGAATAAATGAGACAACAGAAACCTTTTCAGACATAAGCTAAAATGTGAGTACCAGTAAGTATTGCAACATTCATAATGTGACATCTAATCTGCTCGTTATTGTCCTGTGTTAACGTATGGCTTTTCTACAATTTAATTTGATTCAAATCCATCAATTTCGGTTAAAGTTAACACACAGGTGTTAGTCACAATTGTGTTATATTTAACTATACTACTCAAAAGAAGCTAAAGAACATGGCATGTTACATTAACTAAAACAATAATGAAAGAATAGGGTGTTCTTTAACTTCTTTTGAGTGGCATATTTTGGCAATTTTCAAGCTCTTCAAGAAGGGACTGTCAAGTGTATGTGGACATCACCTTACAAAGGTAACAGGAAGATTTGCGTGCTGTTGTAAGTTTGTTAAATGTTAACATACCGACTACCTCAGCACTTGACACAGCTGACACAGGCATCGTAACAGGATGCATTTAGTAGTATCCAGAAATCTCACTGGAATATCCAGTACGTAGCAATCACTGATCAATGGAGAACACGGACTACTGCAACTGTAGGCATAGTAGACATGGGGAAGCAAACATGGCTCAGTTTCGTTAGGTAGAATGCCGTTTTGTACAATATTCACACATATATCATGGCGATCAGCTTCATGTGGGAGAAAAGCAAGTCTTGGATGTTTACCAGTTTGGTTAAACCATCAAGCATGGGTATACTTGGAAATAAAGCCTACACACACCATCAGCGTGAACCTGGGACTCCAGCCCATGATCATAGGTCATGGGCTGTCTTAGGGATGCAACTCTACACAGCAAATTGTATTGCCTAAGACGACTAGGTCACTAAAGCCCCCATGCAGTGTTGGAAATGAAGGGCTCCTTGAGGTTTGCTGCTGCAGTATTTGAATGTAGGGACCCCTAAACCTGATACTTTCGACTACAGTGAGTTGGGTTTAACGCCGCTTTTAACAGTATTCCAGTTATATCACAGCGTGTCAGCCTAATGTAGGAGGGAAGCCCGAAGTGATGCAGGTCTCAGACGTTTACCACTTCGGTGTGAAACCCACGAGCACGGGTATGGTGCTGACGAACCTAGAAACATAGTCGGGGCGAACGGGGATTCGAACCCACAATCATAGGTTTCTGGCGTGCCCAAGGGACGCAACACTGCACACCAAATCGCGGCGCCTTTTATGACTGGGCCATCCGTGGTATGAGGTATTGGTTTGTTGTTACAAAGTTAAGGGAGGTAACTCTGATCATGGTCTAATAACAAGTCTCAAACATTTTCCAAATGAACATGGATCTTCAAACAAAAGTTATTTTTCCTAAAACTAATGAGGTGTTGATTATCATTATACTGTGTCTTCATAGCATCTATGGAAACTATAGCAACATTTAAAAGTGGTATCCATGACAACTACCGATACTCTACTCAGTCATCAATGTATTGCCACTAGACAAAATCAACCTATTGACAAAGTTAACCAACAACCAGGGATCTAGGTCTCCACACATACATTGGTTAAATCTGTATACTTCTTGAGACAGGAGAGCATGGAGGGTTACATTTCACAGATACTGATTAATCCTAGATACATTCATAAACACATCTAGGTACGTATCCTCTGTCTTTCACATCTTCATGTGAACTTCACACATGTACGATGGTTAATTGCACTGTGCAAAATAAATATAATCATTAAAACAAATTTGCTGAAAAGTTGACCAGATATATATGTATCTATTGCTATCTATCTATATGTATCTATCACTTTGATTAAAGTCTGACTGGTTTGATGTTGTTGGATATAACAGCAGATTCTGTAACACAACTTTCTGATTGGTCAATCTTGTGGTTTTATTGACAGGTGGTGATTGGTTAAATTCAATGCATTGATGGTTCAATGAATCATTAAACCTTGAAGTTTAAACAACATGTGTCTCCCAATGTCTGTGTTGACAAACAAACCACTTACTGATTACATGAAATGTGTTGTCGGTAGTTATATATTTGTAAACAGAGACTTATGAAAGAAAAAAAGTTAAAAACCAAAAAATATTGCAAGAGATCTTATCACAAAAAGATGAAGTACATCTTCAACAAGGGACGCATGATTTATGATGATGATAGATCACTAAAAACTTATATATTGTAACAATGCCTATAAATCATTCGAACATACAATAACATCCATACAACAGGAATTCATGGCCATCCTTGAACTGTTCCACAATGCGATCTTACCGCCAAGATGATCGTAACTATGTTCTATAGCACTGACATATGACAGTCGTAGCGCTTAGATCGCTTACTGGAACAGCATCAGAAACAGCAGGTTTCATGACACACATATCCTCCAACATATAGTTTTCAAAATCTATTGGGTCTTGTCTTTGCCGGTTGCTATGAATTAAGAATGAAATAACCCTTTTGTGTTCCATTCTAAACATAAGGGTCATCACCATGACCCCTTGACGACCATGCTTCATTTTGAAATACTGGGATTCATATTTATATGAAATATATCAAGCTTCATTACCAAAGTACTGCAGCCATTCTTCATGTCTGGCTATAAATTCCTGTTGTCTGAAAGATCATTAACAGCAGTACAGTTTGTCACGGAGGATCCATCACGACCTCGGCAACCCCAAACTGTATAAACATGTACACGTGGTTATGACCTGGGACAGGGACAGAGCCCAAATCTGAGAGACAGGAAAATGGAAATTTGCTTTCTGATCAGAATTCCCTCAATAAATAGGTTCCTCTATTTCCCCATACAACTGCATGTTGGTATTCACAGCAACAGTCCTCAGGAAGTGACTCGTGATAACAATAGAGGCCTGGGTTAATGTTTTTAAAACAGAATTATTTTGAAAAATGTGGTATTTAGAAGTCTTTTAACCATAATACTCAATTGTTTATAGGGGCTGTAGGGTAGCCTAGTGGTTAAGGGTTCACTCGTCCAAAGGCCCGGGTTCGATTCCCCATATGGGTACAATGTTTGGAACCACTTTTTCCATGATATTGTTGAAAAGCAGGATAATGCAAGGTAGGTGGGATGTCAAGTAGCTGGTTGTAGAGCAATATCACAACACGGGACACGAAGTACTGGCTTCACAACATGGGAAGCAGGTCTTCAGCAGAGGACCATTATCACTGGCCTACCTCACAGCTCCAACTTCTTATAGGGATATTCATATTATTCAAAGATACAAAAATAGCTGAAAACAGTTGTTAAATATGTGTAAATAGAATGAAATATATGAACCCCTCGCAAACATTGAGTAGTATATTGCCAGAAACAGGTGTGTGTACAGATACAGGGGGCCTGAGATCCATAACAAACAGTCTGACTGTACCGGGATGCACAACGCGTTATGGTTTCAAAATATTCAACATGTATCATCGACACGTTCAAGATGATGATTTGATCAGTACTACCTCAGGATGTTTGTTTATCACACACATCTATACAGAGGCTAACAAGCTCACACAGAAATAATAGAACAATAACTGGCATTTACAAAGGGGAGTAAGAATTTAGCAGTTCATTTTTCAACCTGAGGAGTACACACTCCTTAAACCTGCAGCAGAGGAGTACTGGAATAATCACACATATCTTAAGGAGTAACCCCAGTAGCTCAAAGGTAAATTGTTAGCACGATTTCATCAACTCTTGATAAAACATTATCTTTACCATTTTGAAATATCTTTGGGATATTTTGGATGACAATCCTAGAAAACAAACCAATCTGAAACCATGAAACAAATACATTTTGAAACTGTTCCTTCTTTAATCCAAATGTTTAATTGAGTACACTGTATAGCAACTCCAGTTACACTTTCTAGCGTCACTGAAATGTCCCTATTGCTTCAGTGTAAGAGAAATGACCTGCACAATAATTCTTGTGTGTGAACTCTAGGGAGTACTGCAGTAAAAAACAAGGATGGCGTAAAAGCCTATTTTTGCCTTTACTTGATATGTTTTTAAAGTATAACCCTTTCACATTTGCACATTAGCTAACCATTCACACAACACAGCTCTTTGTGGGGCCCCTGTGGAGCCCCAGTGGAGCCCTGGTAAGTATAGAGGTCCACAGTAGGACAGTCTTCTGGTGGTGTTGCCCACCATAGAGCCTGGAGTGTTTATCACAATAATGTCCCTCCTCTGGTTAGGGAACTTGTTGGTCCACGACTGTTGGTGTGACCCCAAGATCAGAGAGGTCGAGGAATGTGCAGAGCCTCGACGGGGGGAATGAGGCTGGGTTCGTGCTGGCTGTGGGGGGTGGGACCCCAGTCTCCTAGTCCAAAACTGGGGTTTGTCATGCGATGCTTGAGACATCTAGACAGGTGGTACATCTGGGACCTCTCCAGGTGCGACAACACCATCAAGACTTGTCTGTAACAGAAGTAACAGAATACCATCAACACTTGTCTGTAACAGAAGTAACAGAATACCATCAACACTTGTCTGTAATAGAAGTAACAGAATACCATCAACACTTATCTGTAACAGAAGTAACAGAATACCATCAACACTTGTCATTAACAGAAGTAACAGAATACCATCAACACTTGTCTGTAATAGAAGTAACAGAATACTATCATCACTTGTCATTAACAGAAGTAACAGAATACTATCAACGCTTGTCTGTAACAGAAGTAACAGAATACCATCAACACTTGTCATAACAGAAGTAACAGAATACTATCAACACTTGTCTGTAACAGAAGTAACAGAATACCATCAACACTTATCTGTAATAGAAGTAACAGAATACCATCAACACTTGTCATTAACAGAAGTAACAGAATACCATCAACACTTGTCATTAACAGAAGTAATAGAATACTATCAACACTGTAACAGAAGTAACAGAATACCATCAAGACTTGTCATTAACAGAAGTAACAGAATACCATCAACACTTGTCTGTAATAGAAGTAACAGAATACCATCAACACTTGTCTGTAATAGAAGTAACAGAATACCATCAACACTTGTCATAACAGAAGTAACAGAATACCATCAACACTTGTCATAACAGAAGTAACAGAATACTATCAACACTTATCTGTAACAGAAGTAACAGAATACCATCAACACTTATCTGTAACAGAAGTAACAGAATACCATCAACACTTGTCTGTAACAGAAGTAACAGAATACCATCAACACTTGTCATTAACAGAAGTAACAGAATACCATCAACACTTGTCTGTAATAGAAGTAACAGAATACCATCAACACTTGTCTGTAATAGAAGTAACAGAATACCATCAACACTTGTCATTAACAGAAGTAACAGAATACCATCAACACTTGTCTGTAACAGAATACCATCAACACTTGTCTGTAACAGAATACCATCAACACTTGTCTGTAATAGAAGTAACAGAATGCCATCAACACTTGTCTGTAACAGAAGAAACAGAATACCATCAACACTTGTCTGTAACAGAATACCATTAACACTTGTCTGTAACAGAAGTAACAGAATACCATCAACACTTGTCTGTAACAGAAGAAACAGAATACCATCAACACTTGTCTGTAACAGGAGTAACAGAATACCATCAACACTTGTCTGTAACAGAAGTAACAGAATACCATCAACACTTGTCTGTAACAGAAGTAACAGAATACCACCAAGACTTGTCATTAACAGAAGTAACAGAATACCATTAACACTTGTCTGCAACAGAAGTAACAGAATACCATCAACACTTGTCATTATCAGAATTCATGTATTTCTCTCATGCTCACACAAGTAATACAAAGTTTTGACATTCATTTTGTAAATCAGACAAACATGCCCATGTAATAATCTCTAAATACACTAACACATCAAGAATCTCCACTGAATGTCTTTATTTCCTCAATAAATATATCAACACAAGTGGACTAAAGCAACAAACCTTCACAAGTTTCTCTCACACTAGGAAATACAAACATTTGGACACTCATTTTGCATGAAGTCTGCAACATGCCATAGGAAATTATTCCCCTTTCAAGTGTGTGTGTGTGTGTGTGTGTGTGTGTGTGTGTGTGTGTGTGTGTGTGTGTGTATGTGTGTTTGTGTGTTTGTTGTTTAACGCTGCAATCAGTAATATCCAAGCGATATGGTGGCAGGCAGTAAATAATTGAGTCTGAACAGACAACGCAGTGATCGATATTGTGAACAACGACCCACACCATCGAGTTACTAAGATACACAATCAACCAAGTCTCCTCCTAGGACCATTATAGGCTGCTGGGACCTCTTCTAATCTGGACGCCCAACAGGGTCCTCTTCCAAGCACTCATACAGATGCCATTTTGGCCATCCAATCCATATATAAGTTGTCTATCATAAGATGGGTGCAGGCAAACCCAGGACCCAAGTACTGACCTATGTAGTGGTGGGATCACATCCTTGCTGATCAGTGAGCCCCTTGTGCTGACAACGTTAGAGCTCTCCGTGCAGTCACACCACATTACTACATTGTTGCCCGGCATACGATTCTCAGCAACAAATATTCCCCCGGCCCATCCGTTGAGGAGGCTGTAAACTGTGATGCCTTTCCGAACCTGGAACAGAAGCAGCTTACAATGAAAGGAATATTTTTTGTTTGTTTTGTTTGTTGTTTAACGCCGTACTCAGCAATATTCCAGCTATATGACGGCGGTCTGTAAATAATCGAGTCTGGACCAGACAATCCAGTGACTGACATCATGAGCATCGATCCACGCAATTGGGATACGATGACATGCTTCATCCAAGTCAGTGAGCCTGACCAACGTATCCCTTTAGTTGCCTCTTACGACAAGCATAGTCGCCTTTTACGACAAGCATGGATTGCCTAAGACCTGAAAGGAATAGACGACTGAGGTCACATGGGGTTTAACATTGTATTAAAGTTTACTGCAATTCCATAGGGATGTGTGTGTAGGTGCGTGCGTGCATGCGTGCCTGAGATACCATGCCACAGTGCTGAGTGCAAAGAGCCCCCTCTCATATAAATCCACCACAAGTTAGATGTCATTCTCAGTATTTAACACCTCACTTCCAACTATCCTATCATTTTTTCAATATGTTATTTTGCAAAATATTTCAATCATATCACGGCATATGAAACAGATGAAAGAGGATAGCAAATACTTCTCATGAACACAAACTTTAGAAAATCAATACATTCTCAGAGCTCCAGATAAGCTGCGTATCTGCGTAAAAAACACATCAGAAATGCAGAAATATGCAGTAAAATAATATCCAAGCGTATCAAATACCAGTTTGCAGGGACTAGATGAATAGTGTTTTTAAATATTTAACTTAAATACCCACATGTGTAAAAACTAGTGGGTAACAGAAATTTGAATACCTAGATAGAATTACTGATAAGCAGTGATTTTAAAATGCATGGGTAAAATACCCACAACACCAAAAGCTTATCTGGAGCTCTGCATTCTTCCTAGTTAATATAAACAGCACATCACCATGAGGGAGAAACTACAAAAGTGACCTTGGGTGGACCCCTTTTGTGCAACACACAAGCACAGATATGGTTCAGACAAACCAAGGACATTGTTACATGTGGTATGAACGGCAGGTGTTCCCGCTAATAGCACAAACAACAATTACAAGAATCACACAACAATCTCTGAAGTTTAAAGCTAGATTTAATAATTAAAACAAAGATAAGTATATAACAATTCTCAGTTACTGGGCAAGGCACTCATATACATCTATTTAGGCAAAGCAATATGAATAAAAATGAATCTTGGATTCAAACCCATGATTCTGACATCTAAGGCCTACAACTCTGTAGTAACTGAAGCACCTCAGATCAGTGAGTGAGTGAGTGAGTTGGGTTTAACGCCGCTTTTAACATTATTCCAGTTATATCATGGCATGTCAGCTTAATGTGGGAGGAAAACCCGAAGTGATGCAGGTCTTAGACGTTTACCACATCGATGAAACCCACGAGCACGGGTATGGTGTCAGATCAGTGGGTTATGAAGTTCACTAAGACATCAGAGGTGCTAATAATAATCAACAGCACTGAATGATGTTTGTTGCTTAACACTGCAGTCAGTAAGCATCAATCTAAGAGTTTATCATGTAAATAATCAAGTTTGGACCAGACAAACCAGTGGTTGATATAATGAGCATGTCCCTTGATTTGGGGGTATGATGACATGCAATCAACCAAGTCAAGAACCACAAATCTATCTGGTCAGCTCATATGGCAAGCAAAGGTTACCCCAATTAAAACCGTAATCCCCTGTGGGCACCAGATCCATTCAGCCACCTCATATGACAAGCACAGGTTAGGGGACCCCAATTAAAACCGTAATCCCCTGTGAGGGCACCAGATCCATTCAGCCACCTCATATGACAAGCATAGGTTAGGGGACCCCAATTAAAACCGTAATCCCCTGTGGGCACCAGATCCATTCAACCACCTCATATGACAAGCATAGGTTAGGGGACCCCAATTAAAACCGTAATCCCTAGTGGGCACCAGATCCATTCAGCCACCTCATATGACAAGCATAGGTTAGGGGACCCCAATTAAAACCGTAATCCCCTGTGGGCACCAGATCCATTCAGCCACCTCATATGACAAGCATAGGTTAGGGGACCCCAATTAAAACCGTAATCCCCTGTGGGCACCAGATCCATTCAGCCACCTCATATGACAAGCACAGGTTAGGGGACCCCAATTAAAACCGTAATCCCCTGTGGGCACCAGATCCATTCAGCCACCTCATATGACAAGCATAGGTTAGGGGACCCCAATTAAAACCGTAATCCCCTGTGGGCACCAGATCCATTCAACCACCTCATATGACAAGCATAGGTTAGGGGACCCCAATTAAAACCGTAATCCCTAGTGGGCACCAGATCCATTCAGCCACCTCATATGACAAGCATAGGTTAGGGGACCCCAATTAAAACCGTAATCCCCTGTGGGCACCAGATCCATTCAGCCACCTCATATGACAAGCATAGGTTAGGGGACCCCAATTAAAACCGTAATCCCCTGTGGGCACCAGATCCATTCAGCCACCTCATATGACAAGCATAGGTTAGGGGACCCCAATTAAAACCGTAATCCCCTGTGGGCACCAGATCCATCAGCCACCTCATATGACAAGCATAGGTTAGGGGACCCCAATTAAAACCGGAATCCCCATGGGGCGCGAGATCCATTCAGTCACCTCACATGACAAGCATAGGTTAGGGGACCCCATTTAAAACCATAATCCCCATGGGGCGCCAGATCCATTCAGTCACCTCAGATGACAAGCATAGGTTAGGTTACCCCAATTAAAACCGGAATCCCCATGGGGCGCCAGATCCATTCAGTCACCTCACATGACAAGCATAGGTTACACTGAACCTATTCAAACCTAGACTCCCCACGATACCCACCTCCTCCTTTGTTCCCTTGGCAACAGCTAGCTGGATGAGAGCATCGGCCAGGACGTTCTCGTACTGCCTGTTGCGGAATGTGTTGATCTGGTCTACCATCAGGGCCTTGGAGCTGTGCACTGACAACACGTAGCGGTGGCTGACCCGGGTGCCGGGGACTGGAACAAGGGCAGACAATCCATGAGGACAACATGAGCAACAAAACACTTAGACAAATTAAGAGCATGAGGTACCATATGTTCTTGTGTATAATGTGCACACCTTATTCTTGGGTACAAGTTTCAGGAACATTGCTATTTCATGTATTGTACACAGTCAAAAACTAGTGAACAAACAGGATTGCTGACAAGCTATCTCCAGTGTAAGATACTCATGGAATAGCTTTGCATTGAAATGTCCTCACCTGTTGTCCAGTGACTGAAGGCCAGACAGAGGACGACATACTCTCTCAGCTACAACTACTGTTATTGTCCTCACCTGTTGTCCAGTGACTGAAGGTCAGACAGAGGACAACATACTCTCCCAGCTACAACTACTGTCAATGTCCTCACCTGTTGTCCAGTGACTGAAGGTCCGACAGAGGACGACATACTCTCCCAGCCACAATTACTGTTAATGTCCTCACCTGTTGTCCAGTGACTGAAGGTCAGACAGAGGAGACCTACTCTCCAAGCTACAATTACTGTTAATGTCCTCACCTGTTGTCCAGTGACTGAAGGCCAGACAGAGGACGACATACTCTCCCAGCTACAACTACTGTTAATGTCCTCTCCTGTTGTCCAGTGACTGAAGGTCAGACAGAGGACGACATACTCTCTCAGCTACAACTACTGTTATTGTCCTCACCTGTTGTCCAGTGACTGAAGGTCAGACAGAGGACAACATACTCTCCCAGCTACAACTACTGTCAATGTCCTCACCTGTTGTCCAGTGACTGAAGGTCCGACAGAGAACGATATACTCTCCCAGCCACAATTACTGTTAATGTCCTCACCTGTTGTCCAGTGACTGAAGGCCAGACAGAGGACGACATACTCTCCCAGCCACAATTACTGTTAATGTCCTCACCTGTTGTCCAGTGACTGAAGGCCAGACAGAGGACGACATACTCTCCCGGCTCCAGCATAAGGTTACAGCCAATGAAACATCGCAGTTGTCTCTGACTGTGGCCAATCAGTTTGCCCACAGAGAAGTTGGGATGCTTGGACTCTTGGAGTACCAGGATGAACAGGTCGAGAGGAGATTTAGCCGAGTTGTCATTCCCTCTGAAACATTGGATACATGTCACGTGAGAAATAAAAGAAGTTTCAACTAGACACACATATAACATATTTTGCCATGAATTCGGGAAATACTATTTAAACAGAGGTTGCAAATTATAATAACCACCTCTGTTTGAAACGTACTGTTTCAGCAGCCATAGCCATGTCAAGTTATAGTGTTCACTCTAATTTACTCTTCCTTTTCATCATGACACCAAAAATGTTGAATGACAACAGACTGCTCTGACAAGTGTACAGTATTTCACATCACTCAGGTGTTGACAAGTCGGACATGTCAAATCACTATGAATGATTCAATATGGCTGTCAGAAAACAGGTGTCGTACAGTCTTGGATGTTTTACAAGCAATCATTGGACCGATACAATTTACCCAGGACTGGTATTTTCGTCTGCTAGTGGCCTACGAGCCCGGCACTGATCTATTTAAATCATGAGGACTAGAATTTCACATACTGACCCTAGATGCTAACTCTTGAATTTTGGTCAACAAAACACACCTCATGACAACCACAATCACATCCCTTGATGTTTTCACCAAATATTATTGTTACTTCAATCATATGATTCTTAAAAAGCATGATAAATATTATTAATCAATAAATTGATATATCATAATACTTTTGAGTCAACATATCGACACTAAAATTTCAAACCAAAGACATCTCTATTTAGTTTTGTTGACTATGTAACTGACCTGACACCCTCCTGGAACAGCCCCAGCTCCACCTCCGTTGTGTGGAACACCGTCAACTTCACAACACTCATGGGCTGCGACGCGTCACTTGGGAACTCTGCAGCCAGACGGGACTCGCGCCAGTTGGGACGGATCTTGCACACATCTACACTATCGAAGTACCTAGAAACAACCGTTTTATTTAGTATGTTGTTTTTTTGTTTTGTTTATTTGTTATTTAATGCTGCACTCAGCAATATATATATATTGACTGTGGTCCGTAAATAATCGAGTCTGGACCAGACAATCCAGTGATTGATATCATGAGCATCGATCCATGCAATTGGGACACAATGACATGCATCAACCAAGTCAGTGAGCCTGACCACCCGATCCTGTTAGTCGACTCTTTCGACAAGCATAGTCGCCTTATACGGCAAGCATGGGTTGCTGAAGACCTATTCTAAACCGGATCTTCACGGGTCATTTTATTTAGTAACAGGACAGACTTAACTAAATTGCAGCTGTAATGATACAAAAAGCATCTATACTTTCGCTGAAAACATTGTGTTTCTGTACTGTTCAAGACATATTCTATTCACATCATGATTGTTTTATTTCAAGGCTTTCCTTGTAAATGCATCATGTAAAGCATCAAATTTTGCCAGGCCAACTTTTGATTGATAGGATGAACAATGAACCATGCCATTGCAGCATACTGGCATCATCAGCCAAGTCAGACATTGTGACCATCCGATCCTCATTCCACTCCACTCATGCATGGGTACCTATACCAGGGTTTGATCTAAGGAACTCGATTAAACTTGCACGAGGTGCATGTTGATATGAAAACTAACTTGCACCGAACATTGATGCATAAACTAGTCTGAAGAAACAAAACCTCAGATCTTTGGTTACGGTGGCACGATTTTACACAAATTATTGACATGTTATTGACATAATCTTGAAGTACCCACAGTAAGAAAGCATGACAAATTACACATAACACAGGGATTAGTGACATATAGTATATAAAGCTTAGAGGTATTGAGTGAGTTCAAAGATAGTTGTTTGGAAAAGTAAAGGCAAGACAGACACAATTTTGAATATATTTTACATGCACTTGGTGGCAGGGGATAATATAAAGGCTGCATTGGTGCATGTTTTACACAGCTAAAACAAGCTATACTAGACCAGCATCCAGGACTACAAACAGCCAAGTCACACACTGTGACCATCCAATCCTCATGCTGCTTGGCTCTCACAACATGCATAGCGAACCAGCATCCAGGACTACAAACAGCCAAGTCACACATTGTGACCATCCAATCCTCATGCTGCTTGGCTCTCACAACATGCATAGCAAACCAGCATCCAGGACTACAAGATCAAGAACTTTTCAAGACTTTTCATAATGATAATTGAGTTGGAATAAAAACTGAAACAATAAAAGATTATGTCAGAATGAAAGCTGTTAGAGCTGTACAGACCTGAGTAGATCTTCGAATGACATCCAGAAGACCCCCTCCGTTTCACCATGGACCATCAGCTCCTGTCGGACTGAGCTGCCGATTGTGTTCCATAGTGGGGAGCTGTCCGACCAGTCCCCCTTCCAGGAGAACCGACCCCAGGGGTTCCGCAGCCGAATCAATCTAGCAGCAAAACAGTTTACTGTAGTTCACACAAAACTTATAAAATAGAGAGTTAATATGACAATGTGTTAACTACCAAACTAATAAAGTTGATACAGTCTTGGGCACTGATAAAATAATATTCAAGGGACAGAAAGTTGTTTCAGTCAGCGCTGCAAGACATACAGTTTGTTCTCTCTGAAAGGTAGAGACGGACGCACATTATTTCTAAGATTCTTAGAACCTCCAGGATGTCCACTGAATGATATCTGTGTTGAAATCTGTTAGTTTTAAAGCCTTTTGGGGAACTTATTATTCAATTGTTTTAAAATCCCCTACCACACCCAGAATTTCACAGCTATTTCTGTGCTAACTTTCTGTGTCTATACTGTGATATTGGATCTCTCCCATAGGCTGGTAATTACAGCATAATTCCATGACAGAAACACATGTAATTATAGCAGTGTGCAATATAACTGGCATACCGGTATATTGCAGTATGTCCTTCAGCAATACACATATCGCAATACAACCCTTGATATTGATATTTTCTGATACAGTCACAGAGGAATTATTTTATAGTTATATAAATTATATCTACTATCTGGAGGCATTCCTATCTAACCCATGAAAACAGCACACACTGTTTACATTAACATTCCATACTGATGACGGAATACGTAGTCTCATTTATCCATACTACCCATCTCGCAATCCGAAATCTGGATTATTGAATGAAGAAGTACCATTTGAACAGTACAAATATATACATAATTTGGGCCCCAATACTTATTGCAATATGTATTGCAATACAGCTCGCTGTATTGCAATCTATTGCAATACAATTTGTGTGCCGATACGCCAACCATAGTAAGCGCTGTTTCAAGTTTGAAAAAAAAAGTATTCTGAGCATTGGACATTCACCTCATGTGACAAACAATGACACACCCTACTTGTCATATTTGTGTTTTACTAAAATCAAAATGTTTCTTCATGATTGATATCACAAACATCTCCTCTAAACACTTGGAAACAAAGACTATTTTCTTAATGAAATGTATCACTTTAGGAGCCTTTTTGAATTTTTCAAAATGAAACCTCTACTTTGTTATAGCTTGGGGGAAAACATTATGTTTTATGCTACCAAAATCACCAATAAATCCATCAACAAAAAAGACCACAAGCGTGTCTGTATCCCCGCTTTCAATATCAGTAGCCAAGGGTTCAACAACAACTATGTGTCTGTGTCTAGGTTATGTGACTTGTCACACTCGTCACTTGTCACCTCCTGAATTCAACATAGGCAGACAACAGTACACCAGCTGTATCAGACAGTGTATTAACCTGCCTACTCCCCACAGGGCAACATACACAGAGTACTGGAGACTCCCCACATGGCAACATACAGAGAGTACTGGAGACTCCCCACATGGCAACATACACAGAGTACTGGAGACTCCCCACATGGCAACATACACAGAGTACTGGAGACTCCCCACAAGGGGCCACACACGGAGTACTGGAGACTCCCCACATGGCAACATACAGAGAGTACTGGAGACTCCCCACATGGCAACATACAGAGAGTACTGGAGACTCCCCACATGGCAACATACAGAGAGTACTGGAGACTCCCCACATGGCAACATACAGAGAGTACTGGAGACTCCCCACAGGGGGCCACTCACGGAGTACTGGAGACTCCCCACAGGGGACCACACACAGAGTACTGTGGTCTCCCCACAGGGGGCCACACACAGAGTACTGGAGACTCCCCACAGGGGACCACACAAAGAGTACTGGAGACTCCCCACAGGGGACCACACACAGACTACTGGAGACTCCCCACAGGGGACCACACACGGAGTACTAGAGACTCCCCACAGGGGACCAAACACGGAGTACTGGAGACTCCCCACAGGGGGCCACACAGTACTGGAGACTCCCCACAGGGGGCCACACACAGAGTACTTGAAACTCCCCACAGGGACCATACACGGAGTACTGGAGACTCCCCACAGGGGACCACACACGGAGTACTGGAGACTCCCCACAGGGGACCACACACAGAGTACTTGAGACTCCCCACAGGGGGCCACACACAGAGTACTGGAGACTCCCCACAGGGGACCACACACAGAGTACTGGAGACTCCCCACAGGGGACCACACACGGAGTACTGGAGACTCCCCACAGGGGGCCACACACGGAGTACTGGAGACTCCCCACAGGGGGCCACACACGGAGTACTGGAGACTCCCCACTGGGGGCCACACACGGAGTACTGGAGACTCCCCACAGGGGACCACACACGGAGTACTGGAGACTCCCCACAGGGGACCACACACAGAGTACTGGAGACTGGCAATATACACTACTGGGGAACTTCTAACATACCAAAGTAGTAAACTCACTTGTTTTCCTTGACCACCTTCACGTCCAGTATAGAGTACGCATGTCTGGGGCGGAGGCCCTTGTTCTCGTATTCTGCAGGATCTATTTTCATGTTTCCTCCCCCACACGATGCACCCATCAAGAATCTGAAATGTACATGAAGGTGAAGGTCACTAGACTAACATGACAGAAACTCATGACGCATTCTTGATAATATTGAGAGCAATTTCACTGTTCTGTATATTCTGACAAACTACACTCACATTGTATAGATTCTCCTTGATGAATGAACAACAACTACACAAGATGTTGTTTTATCAGCTTCATACTCACAGTAAAACCAAAACTCTCATAACTTCTTCATGACGAGAAAATGTCTTTGAATAATATCTTTCTTAATGAAAACCCTTAATATATTCATGTTACAGAAACACATAAGGAAATCATCACACTATCCAACAATATTATTTTTTAATATTATTGAAACTTTAGACATATCAACAAGTGTGACTAGGAACCATGCCATTTATAATGAAGATCCAAAAGTTTGTTTGCAGAAGCACTACCACATCAGGAAACCTCTAATATTATTGAAACTTTAGACATATCGGTAAGTGTGACTAGGAACCGTGCCATTTATAATAAAGATCCAAAAGTTTGTTTCCAGAAGCACTACCACATCAGGAAACCTCTAACCTTTTTGGAATGTGATGTAATAATTTACCAGACATGTCGGCATCACATCGATGTATGAAGCTTATTGAAAGTAGTTCCTTCTAGGAAACCTCATTTGAATATTCTTCAGATTGTTATACAAGTTTTTCAGGTTAAGTTTATCACATCAACAATTCAATCCATTATGGGACAAAACAAGCTACCCTAGATCTCGACAGCTCAGCAGTTTGGCCCAGATAAGGTCCGGCTCCACCAGCTTGTTCCGTATGGGGTTTGCTGAAACATAAAACACATGATCATCAGACTCCGCTGTGTCCCATGGACAGACAGAGATAGTAGAATACATTTATAAAAAATCAAATTAAGAGGCCCTGAAGCCAAGCAGATATACACTCTCAGAAAGGTGCCACTGTGATGTGACTGAAGCTATTGCTACTCACACTGCAGACATATACTCTCGCAAGGTGCCCATGTGATCTGATTGAAGCTATTGCTACTCACACTGCAGACATACACTCTCGCAAGGTGCCCCTGTGATGTGATTGAAGCTATTGCTACTCACGCTGCAGACATATACTCTCGCAAGGTGCCCATGTGATCTGATTGAAGCTATTGCTACTCACACTGCAGACATATACTCTCACAAGGTGCCCCTGTGATGTGATTGAAGCATTGCTACTCACGGTGAAGACATATACTCTCGCAGAAAGGTGCCCCTGTGATGTGATTGAAGCATTGCTACTTATGCTGCAGACATATACTCTCGCAAGGTGCCGCTCTGATCTGATTGAAGCTATTGCTACTCATGCTGCAGACATATACTCTTGCAAGGTGCCCCTGTGATCAGATTGAAGCTATTGCTCCTCACACTGCAGACATATACTCTTGCAAGGTGCCCCTGTGATCTGATTGAAGCTATTGCTACTCACACACCGGACATATACTCTCGCAAGGTGCCCCTGTGATCAGATTGAAGCTATTGCTCCTCACACTGCAGACATATACTCTCGCAAGGTGCCCCTGTGATCTGATTGAAGCTATTGCTACTCACACACCGGACATATACTCTCGCAAGGTGCCCCTGTGATGTGATTGAAGCTATTGCTACTCACACTGCAGACATATACTCTCGCAAGGTGCCCCTGTGATCAGATTGAAGCTATTGCTCCTCATACTGCAGACATATACTCTTGCAAGGTGCCCCTGTGATGTGATTGAAGCTATTGCTACTCACACTGCAGACATATACTCTCGCAAGGTGCCCCTGTGATCAGATTGAAGCTATTGCTACTCATGCTGCAGACATATACTCTCGCAAGGTGCCCCTGTGATCAGATTGAAGCACTGCTACTCATGCTGCAGACATATACTCTCGCAAGGTGCCCCTGTGATGTGATTGAAGCATTGCTACTTACGCTGCAGACATATACTCTCGCAAGGTGCCCCTGTGATCAGATTGAAGCTATTGCTACTCACGCTGCAGACATATACTCTCGCAAGGTGCCCAAGTGATGTAATTGAAGCTATTGCTACTCACACTGCAGACATATACTCTTGCAAGGTGCCCATGTGATCAGATTGAAGCTATTGCTACTCACACTGCAGACATATACTCTCACAAGGTGCCCCTGTGATCAGATTGAAGCTATTGCTACTCATGCTGCAGACATATACTCTCGCAAGGTGCCCCTGTGATGTGATTGAAGCATTGCTACTCATGCTGCAGACATATACTCTCGCAAGGTGCCGCTCTGATCTGATTGAAGCATTGCTACTCACACTGCAGACATATACTCTCGCAAGGTGCCCCTGTGATCAGATTGAAGCTATTGCTAGTCACACTGCAGACATATACTCTCGCAAGGTGCCCCTGTGATCTGATTGAAGCATTGCTACTCACACTGCAGACATATACTCTCGCAAGGTGCCCCTGTGATGTGATTGAAGCTATTGCTACTCACACACCGGACATACACTCTCGCAAGGTGCCCCTGTGATGTGATTGAAGCTATTGCTACTCACACTGCAGACATATACTCTCACAAGGTGCCCAAGTGATCAGATTGAAGCTATTGCTACTCACACTGCAGACAAATACTCTCACAAGGTGCTCCTGTGATCAGATTGAAGCTATTGCTACTCACGCTGCAGACATATACTCTCGCAAGGTGCCCCTGTGAGTGTGGCTAGTCCCTCGATACACTTCCCCGCAACCATGGCCTCATAGCTGCCATGTAACTTGGCCATTGCCTTCTCGATAAGAGGAACCCAGAGTTGTCTTCTCTTGGCCTGAAAATCACAAGTTGGAGGGTGGGGTAAAATATGCAAGCAGAGGATGCAGGTGTTAGTCTTTACCAAAGACCATACCTAGTTTTGATTAGTACTGGTAGAAAAATATCATAAAAGGAAAGTTAGACAATTGTCAGTCTGGCTTGACAATGATATAAGGATCTATATCGAAACTTCACCTTAGTTATCCATAAATTGTGTCTATTTGTCATCCGTCAACTTCTAAGTAATGCCTATCAAACAATACATACATACTTTGACCAAACATGCAAAAATATATCATGTATCATCATCCTCATCCTCATCCTCATCCAAAATGTTCAGACTTACCTGAGAGTAGATGAGCATGCCGTGCATATTGCAGGGAAGCAGATCATCGATGAGGACAATCTGCCAAGTCCCGTCCTTACACAGGCGCACCTGATACACCCCCTCCTCACAGTACTTCTTCGTCAGAATGATCTTCTCCACAAGCTCGGGTCTCTCAGCCAGCACAGCCAGGGAACTCAAAAACCTGAAAATAATTGGATCGTCTTTGAAATCTGACATATTTATATGTAGACTGGCCTTTGAGCACTGGCATCGCTGCTCTTCGACAATGACATTTTCAAAGTGAGTCAATGTTGTCTCAATATTCCAGCTATATAATGACAGCCTGAAAGAATAAACACAGGCACACACAGCCTTGCATGCAGTATCATGCAGTAACATGCAGTATCATGCAGTAACATGCAGTATCATGCAGTAACATGCAGTATCATGCAGTATTTTACATTCTCATCAGTGTCATCACATTTATCGGTTTGTGGAAGCTATCCAGACTTGAAAATACGCACCAGCAATTTCCCAGAATTCCCTGGGAGATGTCCTCGGGCATCGGAGTCCTGTAAACCACCCAGGGTTGCTTCATCTCAGCTCTGCTAGACGGTGCAATTTTGTCCGGACGCAGCCACTGAATCTCCATATTAGCTGAAGGTTTGGGAGGTTCAATATACAGAGACTTTGGGGCAGGGAGAAAGGAGTCATCCACAAACGGCGTCTTGTTCTGAAATCACAACATGGTCAATCACATCAGTGACATTCTGGCATGATCAGCACATAAAGCAGAACAGGGCTTTACTTACTTGTTTTACTGGGGGTCCATGGTCTAGAATACCAGCTTAACTAGGTTAGAAGATTAAAATGCCCTTGTAATGTTAAAACAAAGGGAAAATTGGGTAACTTGTACTAGCCCCGGGCTAGCAGGCTAGTGTTACGTTCTAACCCAGCTTATACATGTCAGCATGGCTATTATAAGGGTAACGCTATTTTTCAGGGCATTATCATTTGCAGAAACCCCAGGTTTTCCATTAACTGCCCGACGAAGGAGTGCAGTTGAAAAGACCGAGGGCTTTTGCAAATGATAATGCCCTGAAAAATAGTGTTACTGTTATTATAGCTAAAATGGATGGAATTTGTTATCAAATAAAAAGAAACAACAATATCGGTTTTGAAACATTTACTGAAATCAACACGAATGTCACTGACCCACCTTTACAAATACGTAAACGTCATAGACAAACCAGATGACATCACAATTGAACGTGACGTCACCTATCCTATCCCTATGACGTCACCGAACAACGGGCGTGATAATGGCCCGTCATCAAGCAATATGAGGGCATTATCAAGTTACAGTGGCCCGCTCATTTCTGATAACATGCGGGCAGTTTAATGATAATTCTATCCATTTTAGCTATGATGTTGAGTAATGACTCCAAACTGGACCTTCCCCTATCCAGTTTTTAAAAGTAAATAATGGGGGAACCATGGTTCAGATACCCCGTTATTTAATTTGAAAGTCCTGATGAGACATAGGTTAGGGTCCAGTCATACAAACATTACTGCACAATAACCATTACTGCATGCATAATCTCAAATTGGAAAGAGTCACCAGGCATCCCTTAATTTAGTAAACCATGCAAACAGTAATGATTATGATAACAATCTTGTTTATGAATGAGTGAGTGAGTGAATTGGGTTTAACACCACTGTTAACAGTATTCCAGTTATATCACGACAGGTCAGCTTAATCATGTTAATGTGGGAGAAAAGCCCAAAGTGATGCAGGTCTCAGACGTTTACCACTTCGATGAAACCCACGAGCACAGGTATGGTGCTGACAAACCTAGAAGCATTCACACCCACAATCATAGGTTTCTGGCATGCCCAAGGGACGTAACTCTGCACAGCGAAAAGCTGTGCCTTAGATGACTGGGCCACCTGTGCCCCCATCTTGTTTATGAACATGATTATCACAATTAACAAGATTAAGAGGACTTTCCAAACCACTGATCATTCAAATGAAATTCTCAGACAAAGTTTATATAGAAAGCATCAAACCCAGAACCTGCTGAATATGAAAAACCCATTAAAGAATATTTTCCGTCCTGTGTCAAAAGCTGTTGAGCCTCCTAGCATGAATTTAAATCAGTCATATAAAAATATGTATTAAAACTGCAAACTTGGAGTAGTGTGGACCCCATTATTGGTGTGTGCTGTGCGTGGGGCTTGCAAGCCCATATAATAAAATAGTGGAGACTTGAAATAGTTTTGATCCCAAAATTGGTCAGTGCTGCGTGGCAACATCAATCTGTTATTGTAATGGCCTGATGAGGCCACTCCGAGCTGAGAGCACTTCTCAAGTCTTCACTATTTAATTATCTTAAGCCTGAGAGTTGAACATATTCATTATATACTTGACCCACACTCATAATACAAATCAGTGAAACAAGAAACCAACCTGCTTGCAGAATAGAACTATAGTTTCCCATAGTTCCAGAGCCTCATGTTCTTCCGATTTCCTCATTTCTTCCATCAAGGAGCTTTCCTGTCTCATCAGTGTTCCTGGACCAGCAGGAACAAGAGCCTTGGAACGTTTATTTCTTGCCGACTTACACATATTACACTTCACAGCAGTGGCATCGTTCCGATATGTGCACATGGAACACTGCCAGTTTGTGGGAGTCAGCCCCTCCCCAACTCCCCCTTCGCGTCTGCTCGACCCATGTTCATGTTGAGCATGCCCACAAGCCCCACACTCCGCCAACTCATTGCTGTTCAGTAGAGTACACTGCGGACACTGCCATTTAGATTTACTGTTGTGTCCAGCAGTTTTGGCACACCCACACATGAAACACACATGATGCTGGTCTGTATTGTCGTACGTGCACCGCGTGCACGACCACACCTCTGTGCCCAAACTCGGGGACGGACCTGGCTCTGGTGAGAGAGGCCCACGGGGAGATCGGTGAAAATATCTCACTGAATCTTGTTTAAATTCTATAGGAGTCTTTGGAGCTGTGTCGGTTTGATCTCTTGGGCAACTGCAATGATCGCACTGCTTGGCCCAGGAAGGGTTGAATGAAAAGCTGCATCGCCTACAAGTCCACTCACTACCTGCGTCAAGCTGTCCACTTGTAGATGGTTTTATAACCTGTTTAGATCCACTTGGTTTGGGGGTAGTTGTCACCGGTGCAGTCTTACTATTTGCTTTCATCACTTCCTCGCCGTCTGGCTCACCTCGAGGAGCAGACGGCACAAAGTCTGTGAGGTCAATGACGTCTGGGACTGAGGTCGGGACTCGAGATACTCGTGGAGCTCCACACATGCTACATCTTTTATCAGGAGCACCGTTCAACAATGTGCACTTACTACAACTCCACTCCTTGTCGCCATTTTGTTTCCCACCGGACGCTCCGTTTACCTGAGACTGATTTTCTTCACCAACCAAAATGCTTTCCCGCTCCTGATTTTGGATGTCAAGTTTCATTTTCGGTCTTGTGATTGGAGAGGAGGAAACAGACCCTGTCGATGAGCTTGTAGATTTTTTTCCATCCTTGGAATTTTTCTGTTTCAAAGGTTTTTTCTCCTTGGTCGCCCGTTCCCCATCTTCAAAGACATCATCTGAAGTTGAGGATATTCTGGAGTCTCTCTTGCCAGATGCTGCCACTCCGTTCGAATTGGATTTTTCCGTGGGCTGGTCTTCCCCATTGGCTGAGTTAGAAAAAGATGTTCCACAAGCTGAACACTCAATGGTGTTGATATCATTGATGAGAGTACATGTGTCACACTTCCAGTCTTGGAGGGTATCATAGTCCATAGGTTCTCCCATGCTTGGCTAATGCTTACAGCAGTGCTACTTCAGCTACACTAAAGATCCATTCTGACTTTCTTGGAAGAGGTTACATCAATTCTGAAATAGCAATAACCTTATTTATAGTGTTCAGGTGACAGCTTAGTGAAAGATAAAAACAGGCTGTAGACTCTTTTTTTCCACTTTGGAACAACCCAAGAGTTCAGGTGAGTGAGTGAGTAGGGTTTAACACCACTTTGAACCAGGAGCACAAGTCTGGACGGGGCAGACGTATACCCATAATCAGAACAAACTAGTATTTGTGTGAATCAGTGAGTTGTTTCGACAGTATTTCAGTCACACAAGGCTGAATAACCGAATAAAGTGTTAAGTGCCACTACTTTTATATAATTGCTTGGCATGTTTGGATTTTGCTACCATGGACAATAATATGTTACATGAAAAAACATTGGTTACAACATACTGCTACAAATAAAAAACATTCATTAATAAGTGTACTGGTTGTTATCATTAACATAGCCAAATTCTGTTTTGTATCTTATTAAATAATTATCGACAGAAATGAGACAAATGGTAGTGTAATATGATCCTGGCCACTACCATGACTACCGTCATGTTTCTACCAACACAGATGTATACCCATACACAGTTACTGGTTAATCTAAACCTGAAAACACCCAGCCCATGTTGAGTGATGAGTGAGAGCTGTCAGTTGTAACAAACAGCATACCGTATTCGATGTAATAAGGGCCAGGGCGCTCTCAAAATTAGAAATAGGGGGCTCTTATTAGAATATTATTTTGGTTGAAAAAACAGAGTTGAAAGATAAATTTCGTGGTTTATGGTGACAGCCTGAAATGTTTATATACGACAGATATATTTTTTCAGAATTTAATTGCCCATAATTAAGGGTGCATATAACACACGAGTGCGTATTATATGCGAATAAATAAGTCTTGTGTACACTGATCAATCGGAAGGGGTGCTAATTGGGATTGTTCACTAGCCAATATATGAGCAATTATCGCTGTGGGTGCTTATTAGAGCGGGGTGCTTATTACGTCAATTACGGTAGTACATGCCAGTCAGTGCACATCGTACCACATCTCATGATGGTAAAGCTTTGCACATTAGGCTAGTGTTATTCAAACTTGGATAATAACAATTTCAATTTGCTACTAAATAATGTGGGCATATTGGATAGTGCTGATTTTCTATATTTCTGAAATCCTGCAGTTTGCCTTGAGGAATAGTGTTTTCAGGGTTACTATGGTTACACCACAAGGAGGGTAAAACCTCATGGTGAAACAATACAGCAAGGTCATGATACGATACGTATCAAGATACATAGGTCACAATACAATACGTAGTGCAATACTCATATTTACGTCAAATCGCATGGAAACTTCATGACAATAGATATTTCAGAGCAGGTTCAAAAGGAAAAGCTAGCTGTAGACACATGTTCATAGCAGCTATTTTTAGTAGTGAATTTGAAACTCTTAATTACAACACATTTTGCTATATCTGACTGACAAAAACGCCAGGTTCACTAAACAAGTAGTAAGTAATTTATTTCAGCAGGTGTATCGTCTTGTATTGATACAGAAAAAAAAGTATCGTGTATCATATCCTCGCATGAAAACTCACAACGCACTGGTGCAACAATATATCGTTTCACCCCTAGACTAAATATGTTAAAGTCACTAAACCTTTGGCTCCTTTATTAATTAGGCCAAAATCCCTGACTTGAACTTAGAGGAGTCGGGTCTAGCACATCTTACATCACCATGACGATTTGTGTTTTCAATTGTGTGGGCACCAATTTCCGGGTCTTTAAATTGCAGGGAATGATTTACTGTTAGGTGGGTAGAGTCCTCTTCATAGAAACAGGTACAAGTACGCCTTCCAACAGTCACTTATGATGGTTGTTCCTGGCCTTATGTGCTTTATATTATGGGAATCAAGGTCTCAACAGTTCTGGCCCTGTTTATAAACTGGAGCAAAAAAGAAAACACTTCCTGCTGCCTTCTTCCTTTTCAATACAACAAAACACCCACTTTTTCTCAACCTGTCTCTCAGGTTCACTTCTCACAAAATACTGAGTTAACCTGTATACCCAACAATTTATCTGAAGGAATTTTCTAAATTGTAAACCAGGATGCTTGGGAAATAGAGGGTGAAGTAGTCATCATGGTTATTGTCTTGGCTGTAGCTCTTGTCTTTGCACAAACAAAATTTACCAATACAGCATTTTTGACAGGGCATTCTTCTATATCATTACCATATTAGAAAAATATATTCTGGACATTTTAATAACAATCAATCAATATCCTTGAAAATGAACCGATCTGAAACCTGGTAGCGTGTCTGCATAACGTGGAAAGAAACCCAAAGAGTTTTGGTGAAAACCATGAACATGGGTGCCAACAGACCAAGGATCATAATTAGAACATAAATGAGATTCAAGCCTCAACCATGGATCCTCTGCACAGACTTGTAGCCTTGTTTGACAAGTGGGACACCCATGTTGTATGATGTATGGACTTTCAATAAATATTTATAACAGGAAACGGTAGTAATTTGTCAGTCAGCTACCTAGAGATGAGATCTTATATGTTTCTTTTAATATTCATAATTTTAGTGAAATTTCTCAATTTGAAAACGATAAGCACATGAATACTCACTGTGTAGAAGAATTATTAACCAAATACTAGGTATTACACGTTTACATTATTCATAACTCACCGAATATCAGAAAAGAACATCTGAAAATACAAACAGTACAGCTTGATTTCAAATTTACAAATTTCACTTTCTTCTTCTTTTGCCTTGACTGACAGCTTTCGTGACAAGCTGGATACATTATCTGAGGGTATTACGTCGATGTACAACATATATCGTGAGCCTGTCAATGGTTAAACGAGAGAGAACTGCATAAATGTAAACAAACATCCATTTAGGCCACAAAAACTTACAGTGTTGGGCGATATCCTTCACGAATTTATGTTCCGATTGCACTTATCTACCCAAAACATATACGCAATTGTAATATTGGTCGTCATTGGTTTACTTCCTACTTAGCAGCCAATCAAAAGACACATAACATGTCCGACTGACATGTATACCGTTTGCCTAAAAACTAATTGTAGCATCATTTGTATTTGAACAGACGTCTTCAAGTCTATTACTGGCAAATAGTTTAAAACATTTTAAATAGATATCAACAAGAAACGATATTAGTTTTCCCTCTCATTTGCAGTTTATGCTTTAAACTCAGCGTATATAGAACACGTTCACAATTGTGCTCGAAACATTCTGCCATCTTCTTGATGTCTCTGGGAGACAAAGAATCTTCATTAGTTTGTTGTTTATGATATTAATATTCCCTTTAAAGATCAAAACTTAGTTACTTTCCAACATAAAAAGGGCAAATAAATGTCAGTAAATGCTGCTCCCGTTACAATATTAAAAGATTCTCAGAATCTTTACTTCATTATATGGGAGTACCGTATCATAACCTTCACAAATTTGTAGTTTGTGGATAATGTAAATAATATATCATGAAATGTTCATAAAAAATGTTTGTGATTATTGTAAGTATATATAACATATTCATTAAAGTTTTACAGTTTTTAATAAACACATCAGTTCATACAGATGCACTGTCGATGACGTTTACTATCTTCCGTAGATACATATTTTGTACAAAGGCGTTTTATCATTAAATTCAGTTTATGCCAGTGACATATTTAACTACCAAAACAATCTGCAAAACCTGTCACATGCATTCAGATACCATATAGTAATACTGGCACCCGTGAAGATGCGGGTTAGTATTGGTCTTCAGCAACCCATGCCTGTTGTAAGAGGCGACTAACGGTATCGGGTGGTCCGGATCGCTGACTTGGTTGATGTATGTCATCGTGTCCCACTTCCGAAGATTGATGCCCATGATGTCAATCACTGGACTGGCTGGTCTAGATTCGCTTATTTACACACCGCCGTCATACAGCTGAGATATTGCTGAGTGCGGCGTTAAACAACAAACACAAACATACAAAACACCACAGTTATATTGGTAAGATCAGGCTGTAAGCTCAGGTCTGTCTGGCACAGATTTAGATTTCAGGCCGTGATATGATAGCTATAGGGTATTACTAGAGCTTACTGTTGCGTAAAACAACATTAAATAAATAACTACGCACCTAGTTGACAAGACAGATACATCAGGAAGCGCCACTACTCTCGTTACGGATGCAACTTGTAATACACAATAAGGATGACGTTTAATGTGGATTGTACTACTTATATATGTTCAGTCGATTCCGCGCATACAATGGGAGTCGTAGTTGGCCAGTAGTTACGAGAAGTGTGAAGTTCAGTTTACTTAGTAATATAGATCAAAACTGTTATACGCACGAATACCGAGATTCCTTGAAAAATATACTGAAATACTTTTAAAAAAAATAAAAAATTCTGTGTTCTCTTTGAATTTGTGCAGTATGAATACAGTAAATGTTGTTATTATTTTTTTAGCAATGGTTAAAACTAAACTGCCGGTCAAAAGAAACTAAAACATTTGAAACTTGGATTTGACCAAAACATTAGAAATGTTATCAAAATGGTTACCTGGCTGAAAACAGCTCAAAACACAACTATGATATCCGTATCAAATACATCACCATCGACTAACCATTTCGTGTTTGTTTCATATGTTGCCACTCATACACGTGTATGTTTTCTTTTGTCCGGCGTTTTACATCCTCGCAAGTCAGAGTGTCCCCGGAATTTAACGCCGTACTCCGCAATATTCCAGATTCCATCCATACAGCTACAGGGTGATGACATGTAAATAACCTCAGACGAACCAATGCGTGATATAATAGTGTTAGTGTGTGTTAGTGTGTTAGTGTGTGTTAGTGTGTTTGTGTTTTTAGTGTTAGTGTTAGTGTGTTAGTGTTAGTGTGTGTGTGTGTGTGTGTGTGTGTGTGTGTGTGTGTGTGGAGTGCCTCATTTAAATCGTAACCGATGATTTCATCGAAACTCAAATTATGAATGCATTCGTAGTCTTCAGAAGACATTTTAAAAGAGAATATATGGATATTTTACGAGCGCTTCCATCGTTAACTTAATCATTATCCCACATTGTGACAACTGTATGTTATGTTAGGTAAGAGGTATAACAACAATGGGTCAAGTCAATACGGTATATCCAAAGAGAGAGTGAGTATATTTTACAATAGTCCAGAAATGTCACACCAGAAATGAGCTTTCGCCATTGTACCCGTCTGGGGGGTATCGAACCTCGAACACTAAAAATGAATATGCATCACGGGCTTATCTCTGGATCGGGTGATACGACTAGAACACAATACATGCAAGGGGTGTGATGCACATTGTTGCACCTGCTGCACTTTGAAGACCCTGTTTCTGCTGGGCATATTTTGTTTATTGTGACCAGGGTGGGCCCATATGTATTGAGTGACAGAAGGCCAGTAGTATGTGAGTGCGTGTTTGATTGTTTGTCTGTGTGTTTTGTGTGTGTGTGTGTGTTTTGTGTGTTTTGTGTGTGTGTGTTTTGTGTGTGTGTGTTTTTTGTGTGTGTGTTTTGTGTGTGTGTGTTTTGTGTGTTTTGTGTGTGTGTGTGTGTTTTGTGTGTGTGTGTGTGTTTTGTGTGTGTGTGTGTGTGTTTTGTGTGTGTGTGTTTTGTGTGTGTTTTGTGTGTGTGTGTGTGTGTGTGTGTGTGTGTGTGTGTGTGTGTGTGTGTGTGTGTGTGTGTGTGTGTGTGTGTGTGTGTGTGTGTGTGTTTTGGGTGTGTTTTGTGGGTGTGTTTTGTGTGTGTGTGTGTGTGTGTGTGGTGACAATACAATAAAAAAACAACTCATATTGCCTTATAGACCTAATTCAGGTGGGTACGTATGAACAGCCATTTTGCAAATTCCAAAATAAACACAAACGACAACGTTTGTTCAGGAAGACTTATTGCTCTTTAGCCAATTATATAGGTAACCAATTGTGTCTAGTGAACTGCGATTACCACTGGTAATTTTTCATACCTTAGACAGGATAAGAAGTATGACGATGACATAATAATACACCAACCGTGCAGTCAAGTAAAATATTTGGTAGAGAGAAAACATGCTTGTTTAAGAAATTAAGAGTCCAACCCAGTTCATACGATCACGAAATGAAGGACAGTATTCTCAGTTGTGTTCAGGTTGTTTAGTATAAATCCATCTTTCTTTTAAAAATACAACAATTAGTGACACCTTTCAAGCGGTTTTATAGCTGAAATCTATCAAACATTATCTTCCATATTCACATGTTTGCTTCATCGCTGTGTGTGTTGGGTAGGACAGATCCTATACATAGTCACCAAAGAAGGTACCACGTTTCTGGTTTGCACGTGCAAATGCCTTGGCAATGTCCATGAGGTAGATGTCCTCAGTATTGTCTTTGTGAATGTGCAACAGCATGATGCTGTTGAGACGTTGCTGGATCATTGTACTTCTAATGCCTGTTTTCAAACGTTTGAGAGTTTTTTTGACATGATCCCTGTCCCGTCACTGTGACAATGGCAAATATTTCGAAGTGGCATCGGAAGTAAAGCATGCTTTCATTTCTATTGAAATAGTGAAATACCGTTTTTAATTTTGTTTATCTATGAATTTTGCATCTGTACGACACGAAACCAAGTTAATCAAAGCCATTGAAAAATACATTTGGAGTTGACTACACATTTGATCAGTTTAAACATTTAATTGTTTTTTTTTTCTAATTTATGCATGTAACTTTGTTTAAAGGGCAAGGAAACAAAACACAGCAACTTTGCAGATGTTAATACTTTAGGGCATACTTAATCATAAATGCTCTACCAAAATTAAATTTGAAAAACGACAGCAAATGATTAAAACATCGTCGCCCAAACGAAAGCATCCACCACTGGGGTTAAAACGGGTTCCCGGTGTTTGTCACGCTGCTCAATTTCAACGATCGGTCGGCGCCAAGTCTGCCCGCTTCCACCCAGGATAATTTATTTAAATTTAAACGACAATGCCCTGGCATCTGTTTTGGTGTAATTTCTAACGTCGAGGTTGAGCTGCCAGGTCTCTAAGCCCTAATTCCCCGAGCCCTAAGTCGCCTGGTAACTGCCTTTTGCCCTAAGGCATCGTCGTGATAACGTCACTGTCAGGAATCTATTTCGGTGATACAAAGTACGCAAGTACCGGTCTTCATTGGGCGTAGTTACCCTGGGCATGCCTGTTCTTGGCCTGTCTGACGTCTGCCCGGTCTATCTGTAACGTTTCATCAGATAAGTGACAGCAACACGGGAGCAGGTCAAAGTTCAAGCAATGTGGGCGTGGGTGGCTCCCATCTGTATCATACCCAGGGCCCGCTCGCGTTGTTCGGGTGACAGTCGTAGTATTTCTGTGGCCTTTTTTCTATCAGTGTGAGTATCTGACATGCCGTCCGTATCATGATATGCCTTTATTGCACATGAAGTTTCGTCTGCCCACACGGCACGTGTTTCACTTTTCTGTTTTCTTTCGCATTTTCTACACACACAAAAAACGTACCGTGGATGTGTATCACATTTTGCATAAAGAATTGATGTGTTTGGACGATGTGTTTTACATTGATTTAGTTAGAACTTGTGTTTTTAATTTTTTTGCAGTTTCATTTATAAAGTGGTAAAGTTTCTTTTGGCTGTCAGTTTATATTTTACCTGATATGCTCAATTCTGTACTTTACGGGATTTTACATCGTTGTATAGACATTCATAGCAGCCACGGAGGATACGGTTATAAGTTAAAAAACAATTTGCTCCAATATATAATAATATACATTCATTTATATTGTAATGGGCAGCGACCTAGCTCTGCATAAACCATTGGATTATATGTAGATTTAGGGGCGGTCGGGTAGCCTAGTGGTTAAAGCGTTCGCTCGTTACGCCGAAGACCCGGGTTCAAATCCCGACATGGGTACAATGTGTGAAGCCCATTGCTGGTGTCGCCCGCCGTGATATTGCTGGAATATTGCTTAAAGCGGCGTCACTCAGTCAAATGTAGATTT